TGATGTGGTTTTATCTATTTAGCTATGATTCGCGTTATTATTAGATTATGATCATCAAATTCCTTTCAAGATTTATTTACTTTAGAAAATAAATATTTGTGTAGTTAATCATTAAGTCAATAAAATTATTTTAAGTGGAGATTCAATATTGATTATATAATTTTTGTTTGCTCATAAGTGCTACCAATTTTTCAATAATCGTTTAAAATTTGTTTTGTTTTTACTATTTTACAAATGTATTTCTATGTCATACAAATAATTAATACTTGATAGTCAAATTACATAATCATAAACAATTGATACAATGGATGAAAGCACTTTAAATATTTGTATTATTAGAATTAAGTGTAGAATATTTTGATGCGTCAAAAAATCAATATTTATGTTGATGTTTACAGTAAAAAGTAAACATTGAATTTTGTTAAACAAACAGTTCAATTTACAAACATAATTTGTTTCATTTTGAACAACATTGTCAATATTATTTCTTATAACATTCTCGATTCAAATTAAATCTATTATTTTTCTTAATATTTCCTAATAAAACGTTAACAAACTTTAACTGGAAATAATTCATTGAGAAATAGACTCGTAAAGAAATAAATTAGAATGGAAATGAACTTTCCGAATTTGCACTTATATATCTTAAGAATAATCGATCGCATTATTAGCAGTTTCGTCTATAAATAGTAGCAGTAGCTTTCGTCCAACGTTTCTCTTAACTATATACAAGTGGATTAATTATCACATTACTTAATGTATATGAAATCCCCCAAAACAATGTTAAACCTTTTATAAACATATTACGAATGAAACTTCTTGAATCTTTACAATATTTTTTTTTTAATTGATAAAATTCCATTCAAATGCAGTAATACTTCGAATAGTGCGGCTTCGATCAGTCCGGTTTGAAGATTTCATTAAGAAAACAATTCTTAAATGATAGATTTTTTCTTATTATATAATCAATCCTCTTTTTGTGCAATTTAATATACTACATTTAGTTTTTCGATTAGTCCGGTTTCAATCAGTCCCGGATATTGGCAAAACCGCTTATCCGCACTATGCGAGGTAAATATAAATAAAAACTTGTAATTTATTTTGGTTTTTTTTATATAGTTATTAAGGTTGAAACTTCTTGAATCTTCGTAACATTAAGACTTACTTTAAATTGATAAAATTCCATTCAAATGTAGTAATACTTCGAATAGTGCGGCTTCGAACAGTCCGATTTGAAGATTTCAAAACAAAACAATACTTAAATTAGAGATTCTTTCCGTTATTATATAGTCAATCCTCTTTTAGTGCAATTTAATCTACTGCATTTAGTTTCTCGATTAGTCCGGTTTCTATCATTCCCGGATATTGGTAGAACCGATTACCCGCACTATGCGAGGTAAATATACCCAAAAACAATGTTAATCCTTCAATAAACAAAAACATATAATTTATTTTAGTTTTTTTTTACAGTCATTAAGATTGAAACTTCTTGAATCTTCGTAATATTAAGACTTATTTTAAATTGACAAAATTCCATTCAAATGCAGTAATACTTCGAATAGTGTGGCTGCGATCAGTCCGTTTATAAGTTTTCAAAACAATACTTAAATTAGATATTCTTTCAGTTATTATATAAGTCCGGCATATTGGTAGAATCGCACTATGGGAAGTAAATAAAAAAAAATGATTTTAGAAAAAGAAAACTTTTTGTATATTAATGATTTTAAGATTTAATACTTTTTTTTTTCTAAAATGTATCAAAAACTTATTCAAATACAATCAAAGTCGCTTAAATTTCATAATATAACAATAATCAAAGCAGCTATGAACAACACTTGTTTTTTTTTTAATATTATGCAGAAACAAGTATCATCACATTCAAAAACATCTGCAATCAATAATAATGATGTAACGAAACAGGTATAAATTGTTAGCTAATTATTCGATTTTAATTATTCATTAAACATTCATTTTAATTGCTTTGCATGTTTCAATTACCTTCCTCTAACGTGTTTAATTACGATCTTAATTAACAGAGAAAGTCAATTTCTATAACATTCGTGCATTATTTAAAAGAAAAAATGAAAGAATTTTCTTAAAAAAACGCATTGTTTTAATTTAAATATTATAAAAATTACACGTTGATTATTTAACAACAATTTTTTCTCAGGTTTTCTTTCTAATGAAATTCCAATTAGAAAATTTACGTAATATTCAAAGTACGAATGCTAATAATGATTCGATCGATTTGTTTATTTATTCAAAGTGGAAATAACATAATTAAAGTATTTTACTTATTGTAAAATAAATAATTAAGGATTTTTATAAATTATTATCAAAAAAAAAATCTTTAGATTGTTTCTAATTATATAATTTCGCATTTTATCCTTTAATTAATTAAATGTTGTTCATTAACTTTAACCCGTAAGTACTACGGATGGGTCAGAATGACCCAACTGACATTTTTCAATAGAAGCAAAGCAGTCTTGACGAGAGGTGTTTATTATATTATATAAGTTCATTAAATAAATAGAATTTATCTATGTTTGTTGTAAAAATTAATAATTTCTTGTCTTTTCTATAATATTTAATAAACGGGTCATTTTGACCCTTACGTAATAGTAGATCTCCTTTTTTTTTGTCAGTAGTAGTTATGGTTTCAGGATAATAACTAATTAAACAATAGAGATATATGCAACCAAACGTACATATTTGAATCGATTATAAATAGATTGATGTATATCCAATTATCGAGTACTCCTTTCCGCTTTGTTTGTTTTTAAATGAAGGCGATATATTTGTTATTCTGATTCAATTAATAAGTTGATGTTAAAGGATTTGCAAGAAAACAGTAATATTATTACTGTTTGTTCTTCCAACTTATTTAATATTTACCGTTCGTCTCAACATTCAATAATAACATTTAAGAAAAAAACAACTGTATTCATTATCAACAATGAAATTAAAGTTTAAGAAAATTTTTGTAATTAAAATTGTTTAACTTGGGATTATTTTATTACGAGAAACAGCGTTACATAAGCGGCGCGCGTATTTTGTTTATTATGTGCGTTGGACTTATCTCGCGCGAACGGAAAGATTCCAGATTTATTTTCAATTTTACATTCAGTTTTTCATCTCTCGGCATCGGATTACAATTGCAAATCTACAGTTTGAGTTGTAATGCGTTGTGCAAATAGAAATTTGAATTTTTTGCGGAGGTGCGCGTTTCAGTAGTCTCAATGGCATTTCGTTTCATACATCTAAATTTAGATTGAATATTTCTGATTATTGCGAGATGCGTTATATGCCGCAATGATCCAAAAATCTATTCATAATTTGATCTAAAAAAAAGAAATTTAGATTACGTTTTTTTTTTTGGGAGATTAAAATTCTTATATAAAGTGGATTAAGATTAATTAAGTTTATAATTAACTAATTTGTAAATATTTAGAAAGATTTTACTCAAATTGAAATTTACGAATTATCTATTTTTGTACTAATTAAGAGTAAATCTAGTACTTTTCTTAATTTTACCTAATGAAACATTAACAAACTTTAACTAGAAATAATTCATTGATTAAAAGACTCGTGCACTTAAATATCTTAAGAATAATCGATCGTATTATTAGCAGTTTCGTCTATAAATAGTAGCAGTAGCTTTCGTCCAACGTTTCCCTTCGTATAACTGTATACAAGTGGACTAATTATCACATTACTTAATTTATATGAAATCCCCCAAAAACATTGTTAAACCTTTCACAAACATATTACGAATGAAACTTCTTGAATCTTCGAAATATTAATACTTATGTTAAATTGACAAAATCCCATACACATGCAGTAATACTTGAAGATTTCAAAACAAAACAATACTTAAATTAGAGATTCTTTCAGTTATTATATAATCAATTCTCTTTTAGTGCAATTTAATCTACTACATTTAGTTTCTCGATTAGTCCGGTTTCAATTACTCCTGGATATTGGCAGAACCGATTACCCGTACTATGCGAGGTAAATATATCCAAAAACAATGTTAATCTTTTAATAAATAAAAACATTTAATTTATTTTAGTTTTTTTATATAGTTATTAAGAATGAAACTTCTTGATTCTTTGTATTATTAAACTGATAAAATTCCATTCAAATGCAGTAATAATTCGAATAGTGCGGCTTCGATCAGTCCGGTTTGAAGATTTCAAAACAAAACAATACTTACATTAGAGATTCTTTCAGTTATTATATAAGTCCGGTTTCAATCAGTCCGGCAATAGAATGTAGATTAAGATTAATTAAGCTTTTAATTAACTAATTTGTAAATATTTAGAAAGATTTTACTCAAATTGAAATTTACGAATGTACGAATTATCTAATTTTGTACTAATTAAGTTATCTTTTCTTCAACTTTTACAAATATAAATTAATTTTTTTACTTAAACCTGAATAAAGATTGTGTGAAAGTTTCTTATTTGATCTTTTAAACTTTTCTTGTATGTAATAATTAGAGTTTTATATTTTCTCAATATGTGGAAAATTTCTAATTAAGAATCGTTAAGTTAACTTAATTATTAATTGTAACTTTAACTAAAGTGTAAATATTAATTAAATGATCTAATTTAATACTAATTAAGTTATCTTTGAAATAGTACTGAAATTAAAACTTATTGCTTTTCTTCAATTCTTAGAAATATAAATGAATTTTGTTACTTAAACTTGAATAAAGATTGTGTGAAAGTTTCTTATTTGATCTTTTAAACTTTTCTTGTATGTAATAATTAGAGTTTTATATTTTCTTAATATGTGGAAAATTTCTAATTAATAATCGTAAAGTTACTTAATAATTAGAGTATGTTATGTAATAATCAGTTTAAATATTAATATAAATACATAGGATTAAAGAGAGATTAAAATGTTGTTAATTTTAATCCAGTTACTCGAATCAATTTCTTTTAGTTAATTTGTTTTAACTTGTTTTCAGGAGTTGTCAAAGAAAATCCATCAAGATATCGAGCATAGTGTTCAAGATGGAGAGCCAGAATGGCGGTGGAGTGTCGGTTTCAGTTTTTCCGACGTTTCAACACATGACGACGGAGTCGAAAAGCGAGACAGGAGGAGTTCACGAGGATGGGGATAAAACCAAAAGAGCCGAAGGTTAGAGCAGAAAATCGTAAAATTATCGATCGCCGGACAATTGACTGTACTAACAAATGAAAAACTCACATACTTTATTGAGGAAACAAAGAAGAAAAAACGGGCAAATTCAATAAACGATTTGCTAATACGCATTACAAGAACATTACACTATTTATAAACGTAATTATCATTTCAATTACGTTCAATCTATTTTCTTTGAGAAAATCTCATAAAATGTATACGTTATAACATGAAAGCATCATAGTTTCAAATATGTTTTGTCATAAAAGAAGTGTTACCATTTTATTCCTAAATATTTTTTAACATTTCAACAAACTTTTTTTTAATCATAATTTTAAATGAACTTTCCAATTATCACTGCAACATAATATTTACTATAAATTTCTAATTTAATTCAATAATTTTACTAGATTTTACCTGAAACTGAAAAAAGTCACCGTTTTTCAAATTAATTAGTTATTTAAAATTATAATTATTATTTATATTACGTTAAATTTACTTGTATTTATGTAAAATATAATTATTACTATTATTGTCAGTCTGAGTATTATTATTGCTTATAAATGTTTCAAAGTTTTTGTTAAAGTGTCATAAAAGAAGCGTTACTATTTGGTTCATAAATAACTTTGAACTAAAAGAATGTATATCAATATTTTATTCATCAATAGTTTATATAATCTTTCCAATTTTGTTTCCAAATATACATTTTAATATTATTTCCAAAATTAACAGAGGTTTTCTCTTCAGATGTGCAAATATGAAAATCTATCATAATTTTATTAATTTTTAATTTATTTATGTTTTAATTACAATATATACGTTACATTTTGACCTTTATTTGATGACAATCAATGTTTTATATTTGTAAAAGTTTAATTAAAATTAGTTAATTAGAAAATTATCTAAAAAGTTAATAAAAAAAATCTTGACTGAAAAATTGACACTATTTGGAAAGACGATTATAATGAGAATCGACGACAAAAATGAACATTATATAATTTTGTGCATTTCTTGAAAACTTAGGTTTCATTAAGAATGGAAAATTTGTAAAAGTTTAATAGAAATTAGTTAATTAGAAAATTATCTAAAAATTTAATATAAAAATAAAAAAATTGTTGACTGAAAAATTGACACTATTTGGAAAGACGATTGTAAGGAAAATCGACGACAAAAATTACCATTATATAATTTTGTGCATTTCTTGAAAACTTAGGTTTCATTAAGAATGGAATAATTTTAAATTGTATTAAAATTATCTACAACATAGCAACAAGAGTTGTCCAACTAATCACATTGACAAACGTACATATTTGTTGATTTTTTTTTATCAACAATTTGTTTTCTATTATTATTCACACAAAAAAAAATCATATTTATCTATGCAAAATGTACATAATGTAGGCTTCGATCAGTCCGGGATTTACTTTGAAAATTTCAAAAACAATCGAAATTTTGATTGACAAAAAAAAAATAAATTAAAAAAAAATAGTGTTTGCAGTTTAAAATCCTCCATTAGTCCGGTTTCAAACAGGTTATTAGATTTTTTTTTCAATTGAAGCCAAAAAAAATCATCATAATTCTAAACTCTATTAGTAAAATTATAAGTTGAAATAAAGTCAACAAAATCACTTTGACATTTTCTACTTTATCGTAGTACAAAATGTGTTATATTTTTTTCAAATGCACACTTGTTGTTTAGGCTTAAAAAAAATGATGATTGGTGACAAATCACATTGACATTCAGATTTGGATACTCAGTTGAATGAGATAGGATCCACGAAAGTACCAAAAACAAAGGTTATCACTTGATAATAAGCAAGTATTATCATTATAATTTACTTAATAATAATACGAATATCGAAATAAGATTTGTTTCAATTTCTACATTTAACTATTTTAATCACAAAAAAAAATCCTGATACGAAAGTGGTGACTTCGAAACGTACACTATATATTCGTTGCTAAATAATAGAAATAAAACTGAAATAATTTAAAAAAAAAAATCAAATTCCATAAATATTTCTAAATTTAATTACTCCCATATAAAATGTATTCAATAAATCATTACAAAAAAAAAGTGCATTTCAAACTATTAATTCTAGAGTTAATTAATTCATTAAAACAATGTACTTAAATCAAAGTTTTGTTTTAAATCTTTAAAGTATACTAACAATTCTGTTAATGGCAGATTTAGGTAATTCCAAATTTAAAAAAATAAAATAAATAAATGAACGTTAATTATTTAATTACTTTAAGTGAGCTGAAAATCGTTGCTATGACAACAATAATTAAAAATAATATTCAAAACAAAACTGTAATTTTCGATCAATCAATAATTAACATCGCTATGGTGATATGTTATGTCACAATTGAAGTAAAGAATAATTTTGGTGGTGTTTTTGTGTTTGTGATGGATAAGTTCAAAGATGCTGAAGATTCGAAGGATAGAAAATTGCTGCAGCGCGATTCAGTGACGATCATCGCCTGTTCTTTGAAGTCGAAATTTCTGTGCCGTTTTGGCTCTGCTATCGAAGAAATGGGAAGCACGTTGTTTACAATATGGTAAATATCAAATCTATAAATAAATGTTGTCTCGAACAGGTAGACGATTTCACACAATCGACTGTTTAATTCTGGTGGACGTAAGGGACGTAACTCATGTGTCTCTGCGAAGGTATCTCTGTGTGTGTGTGTGTGTGTGTGTATTTCTGTAATGTAATCAAGGAGTTAGTTCGGACTATGCCTATACCGACCATAGTCCATTTGTACGAGTCTTTCCACAAGTCACGGCTCACTCGTTTTTCGCGCTCAGTCCAGAACGGACCTAGTCAACTTTCCCAGTGAGAGATCAAGACCAAGAGCATTCAAGTTATCGACCATGGCCAAAATGGGTATGTTCAAGAGCGAAATTCCAATGATTTTTCAACAAATATATTTCTTAATTTAAAAAAAAAAACGCTCAAAATGTATACATTATTCAACTTTAATCATAAATTTCATTACAAAACATCGATTATTGGAAACGCTTATTACATAACACTTCATTCCTCTATCAGCAAAGTAGCAATCAACGCAAGTGATAACAAAATATAGTCACACAAATTAAAAGTGATTTCATGTAATAAACGCGTATTTCCTTAAGATTACAAAAAATATATATATATAATTATATTTGCGTGTCCGTTTAAATCCGAATTTTTTTTTTATTGTATTTAATTGTTTTGTACGTAATTAAAAAAATAAATACTATAAAACTTACTGAACATATATTAAAAATAAGTAGCAAGTAATTACACTTTAATAACTAAGTAAGCGTAATTACGTTTCTTTAAATAAGTTTTTTTATAATTTGAAAAAAAAAACGCGTGTAACATCTAATTTGTTGTTGTTTTTTTTTCTTAAATTATTATTTTTTCTCAATTCAACAGAAAATGTCGTTATAATTGCTACAATTAACATAATAGAAAATTAAGTTTTTCAATTATGTTCTAATAATTGCTACAACTATTATAAATTTGCACATAAAATCTCAGTGAAAAGTTAAGATTTTATATGAAATCAATGGAAAATGTTATTCAAATTGCTACAATTGTAATGATTGAAAATTCGCACTTAAATTTGAAGAATTCAATGAAAAACTAACATTTTTCTTCTAAACTTAATAGGAAATTCGAAGATCTCAATGAAAATATATTATTAAAAAAGTGTTTTCCATTTTCTTAACGTTTTTCATTAATTCATTGATATAAACTCCAAATCTTACAAAAGTTAAATTATTGAAAGTCACAAAGAAAAAAATTGGTTTTAACGTGCGTTTTCTTATTATTTCTTCAAAAATCAATGGACAAATTCATACAAATCATTATAATTACATTTCTCTATGTTTGTATTTTTTTTTTATCAATATTTCAAACTATATAATAGTTATAATTTTCGCAAAACTTAAATTATTGAAATTCTCAAACAAAAATTTCTATTATTTTTTCGAAAACTATTGGAAAATCTCCATAACTATTGTAATGAAAAATATTGCGTGAAAAAATACGTTTACAAAGATCTCAATGTAAACGAATTGGGATAAACGCGCGTTTCAAATTTCTCGTTGTTTTCATTTTCATTTTCCTTTTTTTTTTATTTGTAATTGCATTTAGAAGATTCCAATGTGTGAGCAGATTTATCGGATCCAATTTTAATATTTGGCGCTCGAAAATAATGTTTTTCGAATTGAAAATAGCGTTCGACTATTTTCGAGCGATTTTTCGAGACACGCGTTTTGCGTCCGCCAATTCGTGTATTTTTAAAACAAAAATCACATACGTACATACACGCACGCACACACAAAAAAAGAGACTTTTAGACTTTTTGAATTCTTATTCAAATGCTCCGGCATCGTTTTGCGTCCGAGTTTCAATGGCTCGGACAACCTTTCCAGTACGCTTAGAGCGACTTCATTTGAATACATTACTTTGCAAATACGTGTTGATATCGAACGAACTTACGCAAGTCCAAGTGATTTGCATTGATTAGAATACTTAGATAACAATACGCAGATTTATCTGTGCAAATGTATGTAAAATAAACAATTCTTAACAAATACTTGGTTTTAATTACAGTTTTAACAAAGAATTCTTCATTTTTATACATTTCTTACATTATTAAGTCTCTTTAAGTCCCTTTTTACGAGTGTTCATTTACAATTGACCTAGTTTTCAAAGAAATAATAATTAAATAATTGTAATAGTTCAAATTGTGGTAAAATCTAAACAATTTATGTATAAATCGGATTCATTTGCTTGGATTATTTCATAAGAGATTACCATTATTATCCGTTTAACAGTTCTACGCTAAATGGAGGAGTTTTGTTTTTCTTCCACAAGTAAACAGTGGCGTTTCAATTAGTTTAAACTAGTTCTAAAGAACGTAAATCATTGAGTGTACACAGTGTGCGAAACTGATTAGAACTTTTTCCAATCCTTACCTTAGCAAAACGATTTTCATTATTATGAAAGAAATTTATAGTAAACAGATATAAAATGTGAATATTAACACAGTTTATGAAAGATTAATTAAAAAATTAGTTTGTAAAGTATTTACGTACGTTTTTTTCTTATTTCATAGTAAATATTTGCTTTAAAATAAATGTTTAGATTAGAGAAAATGTTAAATAAAAATAGCTTCTATTTTTGTGTAACAATATTTCGTGTGCGAGATTGAATTGCCTTGAATATAACTAAAAAGTTGGGTTTTGAAATTTTACAAAAGTTCGTAAAACTTTTCTGAAAGTTTAACTTTAGGAAACTTTACCAAAAAAACTTAGATTTTTTCAATCTCAATCGTTGTTTAACTTTAGAAAAAATTAGTAAGAATTATTTGTATTCAAACTTTACCAATCTTTACTAAACGTTACCATTCTAGAGCAAAATCTATCAAATAATAGATATTACCAAATTTTATCAAACTTTACCAAATTTTACAAAACTTTATCAAGGGTTACCAAACTGTCATCAAACTGTACCAAACTTTATTAAACTATAACAACCTTTACAAACCTTTGCCAACTGTAAGCAAACTTTACCAAATGTTACAAAATTTTCTAAAATCTCAATGAAATTTTTACCAAGAATTATCAAAATTTACCAAACTTCACCAAATTTTACAAAACTTTACCAAGTGTTACCAAACTGTCATCAATCTATACAAGTGTTATAAAACTTTCCCAAATGTCACCAAACTTTTGAAAAAGTTATATCAAACATTAGCAAATTTTACAAAATGTTATCAAACTTTTCCAAGTATTACAAAATTGTACCAAATATTATCAAACCTTACAAAAAGTGACCAAACATTATCAGAATTTACCAAACTTATCGAAATTTACAAAACTATAACAATTTTTAGAAGACTTTACCAAGTGTAACCAAACTTTAGCAAATATTATAAAAATTTACTAAATATTACCAAACTTTTGAAAAAGTTATATCAAACATTAACAAATTTTACAAAATGTTACCAAACCTTTCCAAGTGTAACAAAATTGTACCAAATATTATGAAACTTTACAAAATGTAACCAAACATTACCAGAATTTACCAAACTTATAGAAATTTACCAAACTACAACAACTTTTAGAAGACTTTACCAAGTGTAACCAAACTTTAGCAAATATTATAAAGATTTACTAAATATTACCAAACTTTTGAAAAAGTTATATCAAACATTAACAAATTTTATAAAATGTTACCAAACCTTTCCAAGTGTTACAAAATTGTACCAAATATTATGAAATTTTACAAAATGTTACCAGAATTTACCAAACTACAATAACTTTTAGAAGACTTTACTAAGTGTAACCAAACTTTAGCAAATATTATAAAGATTTACTAAATATTACCAAACTTTTGAAAAAGTTACATCAAACATTAACAAATTTTACAAAATGTTACCAAACCTTTCCATGTGTTACAAAATTGTACCAAATATTATGAAACTTTACAAAATGTTACCAGAATTTACCAAACTACAATAACTTTTAGAAGACTTTACTAAGTGTAACCAAACTTTAACAAAATTTACTAAATATTACCAAACTTTTGAAAAAGTTTCATCAAACATTATCATTACCAAATTACCGAAATTAGCAAAATATAAGAACAAATTTAAACTAATATAGTTGACATAGCCTAAATTAATATGTTGCAACCTAACCTAATTCAATTAGCATTGAAACAAACGTAATTTGCTTCATATCCTTCGGATAAATTTCCGATGTGATAGCAATTATACAAAGGCGTATATTATTTCTTGTTTACTTATTTACGTTTACATAATTATGAAGTTATTTAATGCAATCGATTTTAGTTCTCTCTCCTTCTTTTTATCATCCTCGTTGCACGAGGAAATGTTAAATGCATAAATGTCAACACCTATGCAAATTCGATCCATTACACCATCATCAATTAATAAATATTTACTCAATGTCTACTACTAACCGACGAGAGTCGGAGGCAATTTCCATTAAGATCGGACGCACGTCGTCTTCTATTTTTTTTTAATTTTATTCGACGCTCCCGTTTTAAAATTGGAAATCGCAAAGATCGCGTTTCCAAATGTTTCCCGTGTAGAAATTCTGGTGAGGTCGCCGGGTTTATCGCCGTTAGGAAATCTCTCACTCGCTCTTTCACACTGTAAGAATTCGTTTATCTATATAACATCATTGACTTTTTTTTCTTTCTAAGTTTTATTTCTTCACGAAAGTTTTCGCTTTATTTAAACCATCCCGAAGGTTGTTGCTTCGACCTCTTGCCAAACAAATCGGCAAAATGATTATTACTTATTTTCGATTCGATCCAAATCGATGATGGATTTTGTGATGATGATAAACCGTGAATGTTTCGTGATAAATCCTTTGACCCCGGCTTTATTTTTAACCGTTGACAATCTGAACGTTTCTGAAAATGAGAAACAAACAATATTGAAAACGTTCTTCTGATTACGTAATTATCACACATCCGTATTTTTGTTTTTTTTTTTTTTTGCTTTTGATATAGATATATTTATTTATACAACTTTTTTTCTTTCTTTTTACTGTGCTTGCGTCGTGCCCGGATATATATTTAGACGTGCACTTGAACTAAATTTGAATAGAATAAAGGTTAAACTCGCATTCATAAATTCGAAGTTATTTTCAAATCCTACTATTTCTTATTTATTCATTCGTTTTTTTTGATAGGGCAAAGTTTCAGTAGAACACAATGCACGTATTGTTGAGGATAGCCTCGATATTAAGACCGAGTTCCTGCTCGTAAACAGAACGCAGATAATGAACGATCAGGGCGGCGGCGGCTGTAATTGCGTAATGGAAAAACAGGAAGCGCCGCGTTACGAGCGATCACCGGAAAAGTCAACGCGACAGAAACGAAATTGACGTAAAACATGTGTTTCAATCAATTCAACGACGTTCAAGATGTTGCGTATTCTAAATTTCAATTAATGCACTCAAGACGATATGAAATGTTGTAAGTACCATTGAGTATAATTTACACGTCATAGAAATTATTGAACTTTTCATAGAAAAAATGAAGTTTTTTTATGATTTGTCACCATTGAAATTGATCTTCCAGTAGAGAAATTATTATAAAAACTGTAACTTGGACTACAAGTAATAATTTAATTTTCATTGAAATTGAATCTAGAATTTGAAATTAAACATTTCTTTAATATAAGTTATGAAGTAATATAATCTTTAAGAATAGTTTAGTTTTCAAATAAATTTCATTGCAAAACTACAAAGAATAATTATTGAAATTTTTAATAAATCGCTTAAACTGTTACGTAATTGAAATAGGCAATACTAGTTAAATGTTGATGTTCAAAGTTCCAGAAATCTCATAGATTTTTTTATAGAAATCCTATAGAAATTTCATGAAATCACTTAGAAATGTTATAGAAATTGCTTAAAAATTTCATAGAAATAACTTAGAAATCTCACGGAAATCTCTTAGAAACATCTCATAGAAATCCCTTATGTATCTTATGGAAATTACTCACACATTTCATGAAAATTTCATAAAAATCTCAAGAAATTCTCTCATGGAAATCACATAGAAATCCATCATTTCATAAAAATAACTTAGAAATCTCACGGAAACATTCTCTTAGAAACATTATAGAAATCCCTTATGTATCTTACTGAAATCACTCACACATTTCATGAAAATTTTATAAAAATCTCAAGAAATCCCTTATGTTTTTTATAAAAAAATCTCATAGAAATAAGTTAAAAATCTAATGTAAAACCGTTAGTAATCTCATGGAAATCACATAGAAATCCATCATTTTATAGAAATAACTTAAATATCTCATGGAAATCCCTTATGTATCTTATAGAAATGTTATAGAAATAACTTAGAAATCTAATGTAAAACCCTTCCCATTCTAAAATAAACTTCTAAAAAAATATTTCCAGATATTTTCAATCCTTTCAATTTGGAAATTTCGTTTACGTATTTATAATTGAAATGTATTTATTTGTAATTGTTTAGTTTTTCTCTAGATTTTCTCAAATCAAAGCAAATAAAAAATTGTAAAATATCAAACGTAATAAAAGCTTTTGTCTTAATGAAAATAACAAAAATAATTCAAAAAATATGTTATAAAATTTATAGTAATTAAAATAATAATGGTTAATTTTACTAAAACAGATTAATCTAAGTAGTAAGTAATTAATTAACTTATAGTATTAATGAGTTAATTGTTTAAATTTGGGTAAAAAAAAACATTTTAAAATATTTACAGAATTGTGAGGTTTTCTATAGGTCCCAAAAAAATTGAAACAAAGTAAAATCAGTTTTAAGCAGAAAACAAATTGAAAAACAATTAATTTCTAAGAGAAATATTGTACTTAGAGATAGTTTTAAGGTATTATTTATTGATGTAAATGCAATTTTATGTTACGAACAATATGGAAATCTGAAGGTTTCTTTGCAATTGAGTAATTTTGTTAAATGTTGTGATGGAATTAAAAGATTTTCTTGAAATTTGAACATTCGATTTGTTTGCAGGGAAAGTAGAGATTCCATTGGTGGAGAGATCGTTCATGGGCAAGGCGATCGCCTTCTTCTTCTCCGAATTCTTCGCCACTTTCATCCTGGTGTTCCTGGGTTGCATGGGTTGCGTTTCGATTTCCGGCGAGCCGATTCCCCACTCGCAAATCTCGTTCACATTCGGCTTAGCCGTTCTGATCTCCGTCACCGTGAGTATACACCAACAACAACAAACAATAATCCTATCGATTCAAATATGATATAACAATTTATTTGCAGTGCTTCGCCCATTTGTCCGGTTCCCATTTGAATCCGATCGTGACTGTGGCCGCCGTGATCGTCGGTCACACTCCCATCGCCATTTCGCCCGTTTACATCCTTGGTCAGATGTTCGGAGCTATCGGAGGTTTCGGAGCTTTGATGGTAATTTATTATCTTGTTAATTCTATCAACACGTTTTTAATTCAATGTTTTTTGCTGATTGCAGATGTCAACTCCATCTCATCTGATGGGCAACGACAAGATGATCAACGATTCCGTGTTGGGAAGCGTCAAGGTGCCGGGTGTCTGCTCTCCGGGAATCAACGCCGGTTTGACGGTGTTCCAAGGTTTCTGCGTGGAATTCATCACCAGTGCCATTTTGGCGTGGGTGTGTTGCGCCGTCTGGGATCGCAAAAACAATGACAAGCACGACTCGGTCGCCGTGCGTTTTGGCCTCACCATCGTCGCCTTGGCAATGGCTGCAGTAAGTACACACGATCGCTCAATCAATGAGTTGGAAAGGCTGCAACATCTTCCCACCTTATTCAATTACGTAACCTCATTATAGGTTGATGCATTTCAATACTAACTTTAAATAGAATACACACAAAAAAATACAAACAAAATTACAGTATTTTCATGGAAAGTTTTTAAATTTGGCATACATCCACTAAATACGACAATTAATAGATTTTATTAAATATCTTCTTTATTAGAACTTTAAATTCTATTTGTAAATAGAAAATTAAAAAAAAATAGTCATAATTAATTGATTTTCATATAAATCGTCATTATATCTAAACTTAACTTTGTGTTTCCATTCAAATCTACTCAATAAGAATTAGTATATTCCTTTTTGAAAACTGAAAACCTCTTAATATTATTACTCTCTGATTTATTACTAATTAGTGGAATAATGAACTTTGATCCATTTCCTTATTATAATTTTTTTTTTTTTTAAATTTTAAAACTTTTTTTTCGTTTTTTTTTTATTGTATTTTTTTATTTCAGGGTGCTTACACTGGTGCCAACATGAACCCAGCCAGGAGTTTCGCCCCAGCTTTGTTCAACGGAGATTGGTCCAATCACTGGGTAAATATCTGTCCAAAAATGATATTTTTTTAAGCCACAATAGAAAATATCAGTTTTCATCCTTTAATCCTTTTCGCACGAAGCAATTTGACGTACGCTGTCAGAATATATAATGACGAGTTTTATAAATAAGCACAGTTTTCCCGTATATAAAAATGTGGGCGGATATATCCGCCGCTCATCAGCAAAGTGTAAAATTTTACGTGACTTAGTCAATTTTTGTAATGATTACATCCCAACTTAGTCTTTAATCCTTGTACAATCAACGCGATTGATATAAATTCTGCATAACTTGCAATTACGTAAATGTAATATATGTTTTGTTTAGGTATATTGGGTTGCACCGACGCTCGGAGCAATTGTCGCGGCCGTCTTCTACAGATTCGTGTTCCAAACATCGACACCAAAGGACGATCAACCAGAGGCGATACCTTTGCGTTAATCTGTAGTATTATATACACTGTACATACAAAGAAGATCTTTATCCCATTTATTAACCTCTCCTCTCAAGACTCACCAAAAGAAACAAAACAATTTTATTCTCAAATCCTTTCTTTTTTTTTATAAATTTAGAAAATGAACAAACTTTATGAGCGAATGAACATGTGTCGTCTCAAATGATGCCAATTTCTAATATTGTTGTTGATGATGTTGTTTTTTTTTATATAAACACACACACAAACACATATATTTAAATACTTGATGAAGGATAATTTGTTACAAACTTAATTAAACTCAATTTTAAAACTTTATTACACTAATAATAATAATAATCTAAGTAAGTTAGAGTTACGGATTTTAATGTTCGTGTTTTGTTATTTTAAAACATGTATATCATACGAGAATAGTTTTGTTTTAAAAAAAAATATATATATAATAAAAAATATATAACAAAATATTTTAATATATAAATATTCGTCTTATTTATTGTTTAAATCCCCTCAGTAACGTAATATTAATGTAAAAAAATAAACAATTGTAATTTGTACTTTTCATATTTTGAAAGTCAAATTTATTATTTAACAATAGTTTTGTTTTTCAAAATTTAACAAAAAAAAAACAAAATGAATTATTCATGAATTTACTATTTATAATAATTATAAATGTTAATTAATTATTCAATGCACGAGCGTTATTGCATAATTAATGTATTTCATTTGCAATTTCACATGAATAATAATTTTGTTCCCTTTGCAGTAGTTAATTTTTTTTATGTTTATTATTACTAATATTAAGTGAAAATGTTTGATTTTGTTTTCATTTTTTATTGTTGCAATAAAGATTAATATTATTTTTATTCTGCTGATATGGTAATTATGGGAATTAATGATGTTTTCGGTTTATGCAACCAAATGTACGAGTAGTAGAATTTTTTTTGTTTAGATCAAAATTGCAACGTATTTCGTTAATTTAATTAATCTCATATAAAAAATATATACAGTGGAACCTTGCTTAACGAGCAAAATGAATTGTAAGAAAAATTACTCGCTTTTGAAGCTTAATTTCATGGTAAGATATAGAAATAAGACACAAATAATATTTGATTGTATTATTGGTTATTTATTTAAAAGAAAAAGCAGAAGAAAAAAACTTTAAACATTAATAACTAATAACACTTTTTTCATTCTTGTTGTTAATAGAGATTGGAATTATCAAAAAAGGAAATACATTTGTTCAGAAATTCCAAAAGCGTAGGTAAATTTGGCGTGCTTCCGCGGCACAAATTCCAATCTCTTCTGGTAATTGCATCCATTTTGCAGCAAGCTAAATGCATTAAAATTATTTCCCAATCTGGTGTAAACTTTTGGATGTTGTTCAATTCCAGCATCACCTTGACAATTGCATCCACCAAAGTGTTTAGACCATCTTCAGAAGCTTTGTTGAATCTCTTCAAAATGATCGCTTCTTGCACCAAATTTCGCACTTGTATGCTTTGCGCGTTGAGCACATTAATCCTGATCAATGTGTAATCGATATACTTCCCAGAAAATAATCCATTTTGACTTGAAGTCGATGGAATGTACAATCTCATATTCATGCGTTTCTCCAAAAAATGCAAGAACTGTACAAAAGTTGGTAAATCCCCGGAACATGAGTTCCATTCATTTCTGTTATCTGCATCCATTTTGCAGCAAGCTAAATGTATCAAGACAAGGTTCCAATTCGCTGACCACTTTTTGATTTTATGCAATTCCTGCAGCACCTTGCAAATAGCATCCATCAAAGTTTCCATACCATCTGCAGAAGCTTCCCGCAGTCTCTTCATATTGATCACTTCTTGCACCAAATTTAGCACTTGGATACTTTGCGCCTTCGCCAGATTCTTCTTGATTAATGAAAAATCCATATACTTACCAGTAAAAATTCCATATTCCTTCGACATTGACGGAGTGTATGAATTCAAATACTGCAGCTCGGAGACCGTCTGAGGTATGGAAATGTTGTATATGGAAGACATGTTGATTTGTCTGTTGATGTTTACACGACTGTGTATGAAAAGTAACTGATTTGAGCTTGGCTGAAACGCAGTATATATAGGTACCAAATTTCACTTTCCAAGAATTAGAGTAATAAAAGTTTGCTGACTGCAAAAATTTTCTTTTACCTGATACCAGGTAATTGATGTTCATGATTTTCCCAATTTTTTGGGACCGTAGGCGACGGTCAATTGGGCGAAGTATACTCAAAAAAATATTTATAAGAAACTCATTTATAATTATTATATTAATAATAACAAGTTATTGGGTAAAAACATATAACATACAAACTAAATTAAAATACAGTGGAACCTCGCTTAACGAGCAAAATGAATTGTAAGAAAAATGACAATTAGCACTTATTTATTTATTACATCAAACTTACTACGCAATTTTTTAAATTTAGTTATATAACTTTGTAAGCACTTAGTAATTAAAACTTTCATGCTTTTGAATTTTCTTCTATTAATAGTGTTTTTTTTTTTGTTATTATCACAAAAAGTTATGAAAATCTGCCTTACAAAAACTATATTGCATTCATAAGTAATCTATAACTTTTTTGATTCTACTTATAAACGTTTCTATTTTTAATTATTGCTATTACTAATAATACTAGCATAATCAATGTCAGTAGAATATCTAATGAAATCTTTAGTTTTTATTACAATTTCAAAACGTTTTTTTCAATAATTGATTCTTACAAATAAATATTTGTTAATTAATATAATTAGTTTACAAATGGTAATTCTAAATTGTAATTAAGAATATTAATTTTGTTTCGAATTTCTTCAATAAAATCTGTTTCAAATTAACAAATATTAATTAATGTTAAAGTCCAATTTAAATCTATTTTATCAATTTACAAATTGACCTTTCCAATTTTACATATTAAACTTTCCAAGCTGCTTTTCCTTAATTATCATAAGTTACAAATTAATAAATGATTGTATTTTTCTGCTGAATTCTTCAATAACATTTGTTTCAAATTAATATCTAAATGAAATTAATATTAGTATTTCATTTACTTAATAATAACTTTTATTTGTACTTTTTATATTTCAAAATTTCAATTAACAACACTAAGTTTTCACTCAATTTCATCAATAACATATGTTTGCAATAATCAATAATGCAGCATTAATATCTAATGCAAAAGTGTTGTTCTGTGCGTTTTAGGAAGCGAACACAAATATTGATAATAATGTAGAGATAATGCAATCAATATGCTAATATTTGTAATAGTTTCTACTTTGTTTGATTATCTGCAAGGATTAGATGCTTTTAACAAAACAAAAAATAGAATTTTTTTCAATGAAAACTTGCGTATCGCAATGCAAATATATACTAAATATATAGTATTTTCAGATACAGAGAAAAAATTGAGATTTTCAATCCGAATTCCAATTGGGAATTTTATAATTCCTTAATTATATCTATGATGTGAATACTAAAATTGTAATTATCAACTTGTATATGTATTTATTAATAGTAATTATTTCAAATTTCTTGATTTTACGTTTGTTATTAATGTTCTAATAATAATAAATGGATTTTTTGCTTTTCACAAAAACTTTGAACCAAAAAATAGAAAAAGATTGAAAAATTTCTCAACGGAAACTTGCGTATCGCAATGCATATGTGTAAATACATAGTATTTGCAGATATAGAGAAAGATTTGAGATTTTCATAAATCAATCCGAATTCCAATTGGGAATTTCATAATTCCTTAATTATATATCTATAATGTGATTACTAAAATTGTAATTATCAACTTGTATATGTATTTATTAATAGTAATTGTTTCAAATTTCTTGATTTTACGTTTGTTATTAATGTTTTATTAATAATAAATGGATTTATTGATTTTCACAAAACCTTTGAACCAAAAAATAGAAAAAGATTGAAAAATTTCTCAATGGAAACTTGCGTATCGCAATGCATATGTGTAAATACATAGTATTTGCAGATATAGAGAAAGATTTGAGATTTTCATAAATCAAACCGAATTCCAAATTGGAAATTTCATATTTCCTTAATTATATATCTATAATGTGATTACTAAAATTGTAATTATCAACTTGTATATGTATTTATTAATAGTAATTGTTTCAAATTTCTTGATTTTACGTTTGTTATTAATGTTCTAATAATAATAAATGGATTTTTTGCTTTTCACATAAACTTTGAACCAAAAAATAGAAAAAGATTGAAAAATTTCTCAATGTAAACTTGCGTATCGCAATGCATATGTGTAAATTGGGAATTTCATAATTCCTTAATTATATATCTATAATGTGATTACTAAAATTGTAATTATCAACTTGTATATGTATTTATCAAGCAATTGTTTCAAATTTGTTGATTTTACGTTTGTTAATAAGGAAATAAATGGATTTATTTGATGATTTATTTATGCAACCGTTCGTTAGGTTGCATAAGTGGAGGAGCGTCGGATTCAAATGAGCGTCGCTCTCTTAGATCCGTCCATGCAAGGATGTTTTCTTCTTCGCGGAAAAAAATACTGTTCGGACGTTCATCAGACTTCCTGCAGAATAATTGCAGATCTGGCGATGCTCATTTTGGTCATTTTGTTCTTTGTCGTGCTGTTTTCTGCGGCCGCAAGCGGGAAAACAAACCCCACCGGTTTTGTTATTGATTCCGATGTCGGCTCGCGAAGGTACGTACGCTGTACGTAGAGAGGGACACAGGACAAGTCAGGATCTGATGCACACGCACACACATAGACTCTGTGCGGCTGTGTACTCGAATCCAGTTTGTACCGAGATGGCGAGTGGAGGTGCATGTTAGAAGAGAAGGAGCAGAAGGAAGAGAAGCATAGTGAATGAGTGCGTCGCCGAAGAGAAGAACAGTCCATCGAGCACCGATCGTAACGGTGGATGATCATCATCTGCATCGTCGGACGAAGAAGTGAAGCAGCCGTCGTATCTCGGCCATCGTAAGGACAACAACTTACAAGAAAATATAATAGAAGTGCGTGTGCGAATGGTGCGGCAAATCGCTTCCTATCAAAAACCACCATCACCGGCAGTTCTTTCTGCATCTGAAGTGAAGCCATCCTCATCCAAATCCAGAATCTCATGGTAAGCATCCACAAAAAAAAACAAACATATTAATAATTACGAACAGAGAGAAAAGTAAGTTTCCAGGTAGACGTATTTTATATTTATTGTATCGGTCAAAATACGCTTCTTTCTACTCCCTTTTTCTTTAATCCAATTACATTTCGTTTCATTAGAACAATGCGAAAACTCCGTTCGGAATTAATGCGAAGACAAAAGATCCAACAACCCACCCCGCAACTCCCCTCGAAACTTGATTAAGAATAATTTCATTAAGCCGAAGCAAAATTTACAATTAACTCGTGGATCGTTCTTCAAATTAATTCTCTTTTCTTTCGCATATATAACAAAAAAAATAAAATGAAACACATACACGTTACGCAAATTGAATTCTCGCAATCTAATAACAATTGTAATTCTCAGACTATTCATTTGAAATCGTTAATAACATCTCGTTCGTAGAAAACGCGCATAATTTAGTTTCGATCTACTTTGAAAAAATAAATACGTGAATTTACTTTACTTTAGATAATGTTTTCTATATTTTGTTAGGAACATTCCATATGAAAATTATGAATTTATTTGGTGAACGTGGGTCGAGATTATCATCATTTATTTCCGGTATTTGAAAAAGATGCAATTACGTGATTAAATCAGGATAATTATTAATAATTTTGCAAGGTTATTTCTATTAATTATTATAACAAAAAAAACATTGATGTAATAAAAAGCATTTCATAATAGCATAATTTTATATAGTTTATTTTGGTTTTATGATAAACTCGTTAAGACTAGTTAATATTTAATGATTAATTAAGAAAAAAACTGATAATTATCTAATTACTAATTTAAATTAATTTACTTAATGCTTGTTTTAATAATATTATAAAAAAACGTTAAAGTTTAATTAAATATTTATCGATTAAATTTAACAAAACGTTATTATACATTAATGAATATACTTAGAATTATCTTATTAATAAATTCAATTAGTTTGATTCATGTTTTGTTTAAGTAATCTAAGAAAGAAGTTCATATTTTCATTAATACATCAAATCTAGTTAAATACTTAACGATTAAATTTAACATAACGATTTTATTAAATAATGAAAGTAGTTTAATTGGAACGTAATATAATAAAAGTTTTTGATAAATGCGTTAAATCTACTTAAATATTTAACGTTTAACTTTAATAAGCCGATATTACTATAACTGTTAAACTGTTAATTTTCTTATTGATATTTTAAATTAGTTTAATTAAATCTTGTTTGATAAATCTGATGAAGAAGTTCATATTTACTATAGTTTGACAAAACATTAATAAATTACATAACTGTAATAAAACGTTATGCAATTACAATATAATAAAGCAGTTTAGATTTTAATAAATGCGTCAAATCCAATTAAATATTTAATATTTACATTCAATAAACCGTTATTACAACAACGATTAAAGTGTAAATTTTCTTATTGATTGATTTTAATTGATTCTTGTTTCATAAATATAATAAAGAAATTCATATTTTGATAAATTAGTTAAGTTCAGTTAAATATTTAACTTTAACAAAGCGTTATTTAAATAATGATTCAATTGTTAATTTTTTTATTGATAAATTCAATTAGTTTAATTGATTCTTGTTTCATAAATATAATAAAGAAATTCATATTCTGATAAACATGTCAAGTAGAGATAAAAATTTCACGATTTACTTTAACAAAACGTTAAAAAATTACATACCTATAATAAAATGTTATGTTATTACAATTAGTTTTCTTATTGATATGATAAAGTAGTTCATATTTTGATAAATGTCCAGTTAAATATTTAACTTTAATAACCCGCTATTACTTTATTGATTAAATTGTTAATTTACTTATTGATAAATTCAATTACTTTAATTGATTCTTGTTTGATAAATCTAACCAAGAAATTCATATTCTGATAAACACGTTAGGTAGAGATAAAAATTTCACGATTTTCTTTAACAAAACGTTAACAAATTACATAACTATAATAAAATGTTATGTAATTACAATTAGTTTTCTTATTGATCTGATAAAGCAGTTCATATTTTGATAAATGCATCAAGTCCAGTTAAATATTTAACTTTAACAAACTGTTATTATTTTAATGATTAAACTGTTAATAAATTCAATTAGTTTCATTGATTCTTATTTGATAAATCTAACAAAGAAATTCATATTTGAATAAACACGTCAAGTAGACATAAATATTTAACGATTTACTTTAACAAAACGTTACAAAATTACATAACTATAATAAAATATGCATTTACAATTACTTTAATTTAATTTAAATGAGTCAAGTTCAGTTAAATATTTAACATTTCACTTTAACAAACCGTTATTGGAATAACAAGCAAATTTTCCTATAGATAGATCTAATAATAAAGTTCATATTTTGATAAATACGTCAAGTTGAGATAAATATTTAACGATTGTCTTTAACAAAACGTTATTATATTAACGAATAAACTTATAATTATCTTATTAATAAATTAAATTAGTTGAATTTATGTTGGTTTGAATAATCTAAGCAAGAACTACATATTTTCATGAATACGTCAAATCTAGTTAAATATTTAACGATTAAATTTAACAAATCGATTTTATTGAAAAAAATAAATTAGTTTAATTGCAAAATTTAATTAATTTTTATAATAATTAAACTGTTATTTTTCGTATTGATAAATTGAATTAGTTTAATTGATTCTTATTTGATAAATCTAACAAAGAAATTTAAGCAATTATTGATAAATTATTCTTAGTTTAATTAATTCTTGTTTCATAAATTGAATAAAGAAGTTCATATTTTGATAAATGCGTCAAGTAGAGTTAAATATTTAACGATTATCTTTAACAAAACGTTATTACAATAACGATTAAAGCAAGTTTTATCGCCTATTCAAAGTACTTGTATGAAATGAATATGGATTAGTTGCAAATGATAAATTATTATATATTTCCATTTGAAGTTGCTCTATTTTCCTGTACAAAGTCGTTCTTGAATTGAATGGATCTCGTCGTTTCCATAATTAATAGGACTGCCTGGATCCTCAACGCAAGACTTGTTTTCGATGCGAGCGCAGCTCTACTTTGTTTTTTTGTATTGCCAATGAATAATAGGTATTATGTAATAATAACTCAATTAAAATGAGCGACGATTTTCGCAGTTGGCGTTTCAGGAAAAACTAAAACATAATAAATGATGATGATTATGGTAATATTTGCGGAATGTTGCGTGTACATCGTTATGTTATTTGTTTGAGATGGAGGAATTCGTCGGCGGGAATGCTCGGAATGCATCAAAGAAGATTCCAATTAGTCTAGGTCTAGTTATTTCGGAGCGGTTATAAGTATAAAAAGAAAAAGAAAAATATATATATAATAGAAAATAAAATTGTGCATGAGATGTGCTCCTCACATCTCTTAGATGTATTTATTTCTTTTGCCCTCTATGGATTTTTCACCCTCGAGGCTTAGGTGGAAAATTTAGGGCCTCTCGATTTCTCTTTGGGAGAAAAGGGATGGAACAAGAAGGCGGCATCCGGCAAAAGGAAGGGACTTAATAGTACGAGGTGTAATAAAAGTCTGTAAACCTCTCCCCTCACCGAACCTTCTCTTTCCTGGATCTCGTATTTCACGTGAAACAAGCGACCGACCGACCGTTCGTTCGTGAGGTCCTATTTCCACGAAACCCGAATGCACGTCAACAACAGCTACAGCGAAGAACGTAACATATTATTATTATAGTTACATATTTCATGATTTATATAATAAATAAATTCAAATATAAAATTTAGATAGTTCATATTTTTGTTAAAGTTAAGCAATTCGGATCGGTGACCTAAACTCTACAATATTTTGAAATATGTAGAGCAGTCAGTCTTTAACACTTTAACTACGTCAATCGTATCTCAACATAATTTATCAAATCGCGTATACACATATGCGCGATTATGCGTGTACATATTTATCTTACCTATATGCATTCACTGCATTAATTTTATCTACATTTTATTTCCGAATGTAGGTTTAGTATCAATATTCCATTTAGTGTAATTTTCTTCTAAATTTCTTATAAATATGCAGTGAAACAAATTCTACAAAAACATTGAACTCTGCAGCAAGACCAGGAAGACAAAGTATGGAAACTATTGATAATTTAGCTGCAATAAAGTTAATGAAAAGGCATTCACTAGTTAATATTCCATCTACTGAAAGTAGACAAAAAAAGATGAAGAATTTCCTATGTTTATACTCAAATACTGATTGAGTTGAAAACAATAAACAAAAATATGTTACAACTTGGTCTCTTGAGTGTAAAATAGGACTTTGTATAAAGAACTGTTACACAAGAAAAAAAATACAAATCTGAAATAAAAATGTTGAAATTATTCATAAATCGGATTTAGTTTGTAGTAAAATATGATTTTTGATGATAATATTGTGTAATTTATTTATAAATTTACTTACTTACAAAAATATACAAAAAAAATTATCATAAAAGTCCAAAACACAATAAATATCAGAACATGATCATATTTAATTTAAGTGTGTGGTGGAAATGCAGGTTCAAGTGTGCCTTGTAATAAAAAAAAAATTGAAAAACACTACACTAATAACTAAAAATAAGTTTTCTGAAGAAAATAACGTAATATAAATATTTTAACTGACTATTCTGTTTTTTTAACTAATTTCAAAAAATAAATTAATTTTATTACATATTTTATGATTTACTTGTATACAAATTTAGTTTCAATATAAACTTATACACAAAAAGTGTACATTTGATATTTTACAATTTTGAAAAGTTTGATTTGATTAACTTTTCTAAATTGTGAAATATGCCAAAGAAATATCAGGAATAAACAAATACTTGAAGATTTTCATATAGATATGGTCTAGGATACAATAGCAACATTTAGTAGTAGATACCAAGATAGACTGGAGTCACATACTAATGTTCTGGCTATTGGCCTAATCGACAACAGTGAAAC